AGATAGCAGGAGGGGAAGAATGAAGGGGAGTAAGTCAGAGGGGGAGACGAACCATGAGAGACGATGGACTCTGAAAAACAAACTGAGGGTTCTAGAGGGGAGGGGGTTGGGGGGATGGGTTAGCCTGGTGATGGGTATTAAAGAGGGCACATTCTGCATGGAGCACTGGGTGTTATGCACAAACAATGAATCATGGAACACTACATCAAAAACTAATGATGTAATATATGGTGATTAACATAACAATAAGAAACTTAAAAAAAATAATTCTTTTAAATTAACAGTAGCAAAAAAAAAAAAAAGAGTCTAAGATATAGAAGGAGGAAATGTTCCCTCTCCACTAGCAGAAAGGGACAGACATGATTCTGCATGGAAAATCCAGCTCAAAGAATGTAAACTGAGGGGCACCTGGGTGGCTTAGTCAGTTAAGCATCCAACCCTTGGTTTCAGCTCAGGTCCTGATCTCAGGGTTGTGAGATCAAGCCCCCCATCAGGCTCCATGCTGAGCGTGGAGTCTGCTTGAGACTCTCTCTCCCTCTCTTTTTGGCCCTCCCCTGCTCGCACTCTCTGTCATAACTAAAATAAAATGAAAAACTAAATTAATTAAATTGAAATAAATAATAAATAAGATAAACATAAACCGAGAAAATACCAAATTGAGAACATTAGCAAGCGGCCGGATCTTGTATTCCATGTGATATGGAAGATTTCTTTGAACACTTTAATTTAAAAAAAAAAAAAGCAATCTCTATACCCAACATGGGGTTCGAACCCATGACTCTGAGATTAAGAGTTGCATGCTCCACTGACTGAGTCAACCAGGTGCCTCTGTTTATGTGAATGTTTTAAACTACTGTCATCTTACTCATATATCTGCCCATGGAAATGTTATAGTACAGTTCATACTTGTAATAAGTCAGTGACTCCTGTCATGTTCTGTGAAAGAAAAGTTAAAACCCCAGAAAATCAAATTTTGAAAGCCTGTCTTTATTGATTATTTATTCATGGGATTACTTTCAAATGATGTCTTTCTAATCCTTTAAGGTGTAAATGTGTCAGAGATTTTTTTAAAGCAAGACGGGGATCACTGGTATACCTCTCTCCTCTCCACATGCACACAGTATCATGTCAGCCATAGCTGAGTTGGATTCCTCTATAAACTAAGATTTGGAGAGTCTTTGGCTCAATTTCGTATCGCTTAGCAGGATCCAGTGCTCTGGAGACAAAACCACACACATATGCATGGGGGGAGGGAGGGAAGGGCTGGAAACATACATACCAAAATATCAACAGCAATTATCTCTGGGTGGTACAGCTATGGGTAATTTCGAGTTTCTTCTTTACGAGCTCCTTAGGAAGCTGAACCTTTTGCTGCAGGCCTATATTAATTCCATGATAAGAAATATAATTTAAGATAGTCCCAAATTTAAAACAAATCAACAAAGAAAAAGTCCACAGTTATGGGGGAGTGGGTATATTTTGGTCATCAGGGGAACTGTGGATGGATAGGCCTGTGGCAGGCAGGACAACTGTCTCCCAAACATGTCCGTATCCTAACCCTGGAGCCTGTGACTATGTTACATTACACGGCAAAGGGGAGTTAGGTTGCAGGTGGACTTGGAAGTCGCTCGTCAGCTGACCTCAAGATAGGAAGGTATCCTGAATTATGCCAGGTGGGCCCAAAGTAATTGTAGGGGTCCTTACAAGCACGTGAGGGGGTGAGAAGAGAGAAAGACGTGACCACCAAAGCAGGGTCAGACTGACTAGGCTCTAGCAACAGGGCTTCTGAAACACACAGCTGTCACTTGGGGAGACCCAGTCTTTGAAAAATGGGAGTAAGTTCACAGTAGAGAAAACGGACAAACCACCTCAGCTAAATGATCAAGTTCACACTCAGAAATCATAAATCATGCTGACAGTTTGTGTTCTTGCCAAGATATGATAAAAGTAGTGATCTTCCACCCCCAAAACCGTAAACCCAGTCCAACCACGAGAAAAGCATCAGGTTCCAAGAGAGGGGCATCCTATCAAATACCTGTACCTCTTAAAACCTTCAAAGTCATCAGAAACAAGGGAAGTCTGAGAAACTGTCACAGCCAAGAGAAGCTTAAGGACACACGACAATGAAATGCAATGTGATCTCCGGGATGGCATCCTGGAACACACGAAGAATGTTACTGTAAAAACTAAGGAAATCTGAATAAAGCGTGGACTTCAGTTAATGACAGTGTATCAGAATTGGCTCACCAATTGTAAATAACATCCCATACTAATGTAAGTTGTTAATAATGGGCGACAGTGGGTACAGGGTACCTGGGAATTCTCTGTACTAACTTTGCAATTTTTTTCTGCAAATCGAAAACCATCCTAAGCATTAACAAGATCAATTAAAGAAGAATATGGAACCATATGTAGCCCACAAAGCATGAACTATTCAATATATGACCTTTTAGAAACTCTGCCAAACCCTCTGCTCTAGTTCCAGAACTCACACTGAACGTCCAACCATGTTGCTTCTTGCAGTTCATACAAAAATGCAACTGAAACAGACTGAAGCTGTCAGACTTCCAACAAGATGTGGATAATACAACAAATTTCTACTGATCACTGAAAAAAAAAAAAATCCCTGCCTTTGATGACAAAGCCCTTTGCTCAAACCCCACTTTTATTTATTTACTTATTAAAATAATGGCTCAATTCCTTTGAATTTTATTTTACTTTTTTTTTTTTTTTAAATTTTAAGTAGGCTCCATGGCGAACCTGGGGCTGGAACTCACGACCCCGGGATCAAGAGCCGCACGCTCTCGTGCGCGCTCCAGCAGCACATTTCCTAAGAGCTGCACACTCTACCGACTGGGCCGGAAGGACGTCCCTCAAACCCCACTTTTAAAAGCATCACCACGCTGGTAACTTTGTCATTTACTGGCCAAAACAATCAAACCGTCCCTGTTCTCACCGTGCTCTGGAAGTCAGGCCGGTGGGAAAGACCGCGGATCCCACCTTAAAACAAGTACCCTCCTGACCAAATCACAGGCTAAAACGAAGCACAACACGAACCTCCCCACCGCATTCTTCTGTTCTGTGTTCTCTGCAGACACCTGCACGGCCCCATCACACCTCTCCGGAAAGAATTAGTCACTGTTGGGGAGAACATTTCAGGCCAAGGAAAGCAAAGAGTCTGAAGTCCTATAAACACAAGACATTTACTGAACAAAAAAGGTAACTCATCTGAACCTTGACTTTAAGATGCGTAACAAGTCTTCGTCCTCAGGACGCTTGCTCGGGAGGACGGCTGGCCTGGGGGAGAGAGGAGACGCCAGGGCCTTTCTGGGGGGCAAGCGGGATCAGAAGGCACCCTGCAGGCCCGCACGTCCCAACTAAAACCCACCGGAAACTAGGGGGAACTGGGATCGGAGCATCAGAGCTTCCGGGGACCAGGCCGCAGCGAAGAGGTGCTCTGAACCGGGCAGCAGCCCCCTGCCCGCGTCTCCCCTTTCCGTCCTGCCACGCAGGGTGCCGGGAAGGAGCGCTTCTCGTCCTCAGTCACCTCAGGACTGTGCCTGGGCCCTTCCCGCTGCTCACGTTCTCTGCCCTCCCTCGGGGCCACTGCCCCTGCGTCGGCCCGCGAGGCCGGGGAAAGCGGCCGCGACCTCAGCGCTGCAGGCGGTACGGCGCCGGCCGGGCCCGCGGCCGCCCCCGCGGCGGCGCAGGGGCCCCTCCCACCGCCGCGCCGCCGCCGCCGCGCCGCCCCGCCCCCACACACTCCCCGAAGTGCGTCACAGCCACGGAGCCGGGGCCTGTGCCCTCCCCGGGGGCCCCGGACCCCGACACCCCCACGCAGCCCTGTACGTCTCTCCGGGGCCGCGGGCCTGGGCTTCGCGTCCGGCCTCCTCCCCCGGGGCGCCCTCCTGGCCGCCCTTCCCTCCGCAGAGTGCGCGGCTTCCCTCCCAGGAGGCCAGCCACTCACCGCTCGGGGCCCCACGACCCACAGGGCGTGAGGAGGGGGCACAAGGCTTGAGGTCAACTCCGGACCGGGGCCGCGGGATGCTGAGCCCAGACAATCCTCGGCTCAATAAACCTCTCCCAGCAGGTACCTCGCTGCGCTCCGACTCGGGGCGGGGACGGCGCTCGAGCCTCTGGGAAATGTAGTCCAGCAGCCCGGGAACACACGGAGCTGGGCCCCCGGTCGTCCACTTCCCCGGCATGCAACCCTACACGGCCCCCAAGGACCTGTGCCTCACAGACTTCTGGGAAATGTAGTTCAGGGCAAAGAATTGCGTAGTGAATGGGAGGCCGGCCCTGCTCCCAACATGCATTTCCGTCCCTTACGTAAGGGTGGCTAGTCATCTGTGTGATGTTACCCGTTGCTAAATGGTTGATTTGATTTTATTTTTTTAACGATTTGGGTGGGGGATGGGTTAGCCTGGTGATGGGTATTAAAGAGGGCACGTATTGAATGGAGCACTGGGTGCTATATTCAATGAATCATGGAACACTACATCAAAAACTAATGATGGTGATTAACATAACGTAATAAAATAAAATTTAAAAAAATATTTTATTTATTTGAGAAAGAAATGAGAGAGTATGGGGGGGTAGGGTCAGAGGGAGAAGCAGACTCCTTGCTGAGGGGGGAGCCCGATGGGGGGCTCGATCCTGGGACTCCAGGATCATGATCTGAGCCCCAGGCAGACGCTTAACTGACTGAGCCACCCAGGAGCCCTAAACGGTTGATTTTAGAGTGACTGAGACCTGTCCCTCAGATCATCATTTGATTTATTAAAAACAGTTTTTCTAATTCTGACATTCCTTCTACATCCATTAACTGGGATATTTCTATAAAGTAAGGTTTTCCCTTATAAAGGTGGACTATGTGGTTCCACTCTAGTATTGATCCCTTGTAAAGGCACCATATTTGCCTCTTTAATTAAAACATTCTAGAGAAATCGGTCTTTTTAAAAGCTACCTTGAGTGATAAGTTATTTCTGGCTTTTTCTTGTAGGCACACTATTTTTTATTTTTATTTTTTAAATTTTATTTATTTACTTGTCAGAGAGAGCACAAGCAGGGAGATTAGCAGGCAGAGGAAGAAGCAGATTCCCGGCTGAGGAGGGAGCCTGATGTGGGACTTGATCCCAGGACCCTGGGATCATGACCTGAGCTAAAGGCAGATGTTTAACCAATTGAGCCAGGTTACTGTAGTTCTCCAACATCACATCCCAGTACAGGTCCCTCTGCGTGGAGTCCAGGCATGCCCACTCCTCCTGAGAGAAGTCGATGGCTACATCTGAGAATGTCACCAAACCCTGAAAACACAAACCCACACATCCCGGAGATTTTATTTATTTATTTGTCAGAAAGAGAGAGAGAGAGTGCACAAGCAGGGAGCGCAGTAGGCAGAGGGACCTGAGCTGAAGGCAGACATGTAACCGATTGAGCCACCCAGGTGTCCCCACACTTTTTTAAAAAATTTATTTGAAAAATAAATTTATTTTTTTTTAAGATTTTATTTGACAGACAGAGACATAGCAAGTGAGGGAACACAAGCAGGGAGAATGGGAGAGGGAGAAGCAGGCCTCCTGCCGAGCAGGGAGCCCAATGTGGGGCTCGATCCCAGGATGCTGAGATCATGACCTGAGCTGAAGGCAGTCGCTTAACCAACTGAGCCACCCAGGCGCCCCGAAAAATAATTTTATTTATTTGAGAGAGAGCATGCATGAGTCGGGGGGAGGGTGAGGGGAGTGAGGAAGGGCAGAGGGAGAGGGAGAAGCAGGCTCTCCACTGAGCAGGGAGCCCGCTATGGAGCTCGGTGTGGAGCTAGTGGGACTTGATCCCAGGGTCCTGGGATCATGACTGGAGCCCAAGGCAGACGCTTAACTGACTGAGCCACGCAGATGCCCCTAAAATCTTAAAAAAAAAAAAAATGGGTAAAGTCAAGATACCGTAATGTTTCTTCATCAGTAATGAACTATTTAAAAATTGTGTTGGAATGACAGAGTAGTTATTTGGAGAAAGATCAAATTCATTCACTATCTCAAACTATGTATCAGAATAAAGTATAAATGGATCAGAGATGTAAATGTAAAAAAAATAAGCCCTCAAAAAGTTAAAAATAGAACTACCCTACAACCGAGCAATTGCACTACTAGGTATTTATCCAAAGGATACAAAAATAGTGATTCAAAGGGGCACATGCACTCCAATGTTTATAGCAGCAATGTTCACAATAGCTAAAATATGGAAAGAGCCCAGATGTCCACTGACAGATGAATGGATAAAGAAGATGTGGTGTGTGTGTGTGTGTGTGTGTGTGTGTGTATATCTACAATGGAATATTACTCAGCTATCAAAAAGAATGAAATCTTGCCATTTGCAATGACGTGGATGGAACTAGGAGGTAATATACTAAGCAAAGTAAGTTAGTCAGATAAAGACAAATACCATATGGTTTCACTCATATGTGGAATTTAAGAAACAGAACAGATGAACATAGGGGAAGGGAAGGAAAAAGAAAATACGATAAAAACAGAGAGGCAAACCATAACTCTAGGAAACAAACAGAACTGCTGGAGGGGAGGTGTCGGGAAATGGGGTAACTGGGTGATGGGCATTAAGGAGGGCACCATTGAGCACTGTTTTTTTTTAAAGATTTTTTATTTATTTGACAGAGAGAGAGAGACAGTGAGAGAGGGAACACAAGCAGGGGGAATGGGAGAGGGAGAAGCAGGCTCCCTGCCGAGCAGGAAGCCCGATGTGGGGCTCGATCCCAGGAACCTGGGATCACAACCGAGCTGAAGGCAGACGCTTAATGACTGAGCCACCCAGGTGCCCCTGAGCACTGGGTGTTTTATGCAACTGATAAGTCACTAAATTCTACCCCTGAAACTAATAATACACTATATGTTAACTAAATTGAATTTAAATTTAAAAAATCTTAAAAATAAGTCATAAACTTAAAATGTGTACATAAGAGGGAAATAAGGAGATCATTTCTAACTACAATTCAAAATCCAGAAGTTGTCAGAGATACATCATAAAGTGTTGAAAGCAAAAGACAGAAAAAATTCTGAAGCAGTGAGAGAAGAGACTCATCCACATTGAGGGTAACAACAATAGGACCAATGCCTGGCACTTCATCAGCAATAGTAAACAAATGAAGGCAGTGGAATAAAATATTCAAAGTGCTGAAAGAATAAAAAAAAGTCAAACAGGAATGCTATATCCAGCAAAACTATCATTAAAAAATTAGGGCAAGGGTGCCTGGGTGGCTCAGTGGTTAAACGTCGGCGTTTGGCTCAGGTCATGATCCCAGGGTCCTGGGATCGAGCCCCGCATCGGGCTCCCTGTTCGGCGGGAAGCCTGCTTCTCCCTCTCCCACTCCCCTGCTTGTGTTCCCTCTCTTGCTGTGTCTCTCTTTGTCAAATAAATAAATAAAATATTTTTAAAAAATTAGGGCAAAATGAAGACACTTCCAGGTGTAAAATATGCAAAGAATTCTTACAACTTATGAAGAAACCAACCCAACTAAAAAAGAAATGGGAAAAAGCCTTGAATAGACATGTCACCAAAGATATATGAATGGCTCATAAGCAAATGAAAATATGCTCACCATCACCAGGCATTAGGAAAATGCAAATCAAAACCATAATGCAATATTACACCCACTGCAAGGGGTGGAAGCAAAAAAGAGTGGAAAAGAGTGGAAACATTGTTATGAAGGCTGTGGAGAAACTGGAAGCCGAAAGTATTTCTGCTCAGAATGTAAAATTGTAAAGCACCTTCTATTTTTAAAAACATCTATGTTTTTAAGGGAAATGCATTATTTTCTAGATTATGTTCCAAATCCTGACTGAAAAAGAAAACAATGTGGGGGCATCTGGGTGGCTCAGTAGGTTAAGCGTCCAATTCTTGATTTTGGCTCGGGTCATGGTCTCAAGGTCATGAGATCAAGCCCTGCATCAGGCTCCATGCTCAGTGGGGAGTCTGCTTGAGATTCTCTCTCTCCCTCTCCTTCTGCCCCTCCTATCACACTCTTTCTCTCAAATAAATAAACAAAATAAAATATTTAAAAAAAAGAAAACAATCTGAATAACCAATTTCAATATACAGATTAAAAGGCATTGGAGGTCTCTGACTATAATAAGGTCTGATTCATTTTAAGCCAGATACAGTTCCAATGTGATGTAAACTCTTTTAAGGAAGAAAAATTTGTTCACATTATTATATTAGGCTATTAAAAAAACAACAAAATGAGGGGCACCTGTTGGCTCTGACTCAGTTAAGCCTCCATCTCTTTGCTTTGGCTCAGGTCATGATCTCAGGCTTCTGGGACAGAGCAGGAAGCCTGCTTCCCCTCTCTCTCCCTCTGCCCCCCTCCCATGCCACGTTTTCTCTCTCTCAAATAAAGAAATCTTAAAAAAAAAAAAAAAACTGAACAAAATGAAAAAAGAGAAAATTCTAACTTGAATCTCCTTTAAATGCATAAAGATATAAATATGACTTTAGCCATTTAAATTTAGCCAGTTAGCACTTAATATTAGCCAAATTCACTTTATCCCATTAATGAAAGATTCCATATTAGAACACTGATTAATGTGATACATCAAAATAACAAATTTAAAGAAAACATATTTGAGCACTGTAGATCCTTCAGTAAGATATTTGATAGTTAAATCATGCCAAATATGGCATTTGAAAAATTATTTTTCGGCAAGAAAGTTTCAGCCAACATTATGATCAGCAGTCAACACTGGGAGCATTTTCATGAAAGTGAGGCTGAGACTAGGGGCCCAGTCAGGGCTCTCCCCATTCACCACAGGATGCCTGAGCGGGGACCCAGGGGAAACAGGTAAAGGCGGAAACAAGAAGGGAAGCAGGAGGCTAGAACTGTTATTATTCACGGACAGCATGATGACATACCTGAAACAGCAGAGATTCCATTTTGACTGTTAGACTAATAAGAGAATTGAGAATGTCAGTGAGGAAGACTTTCCTTGCCCTGTGGTCCTTCTAGCTGGACTCAGAATCAAATTGACACGAGACAGATTAACAGGTCAATGTACAGGGAATCCACACAGACCGGAAAGTCCAAAGACAAGGCACCACGAAGCTTACGTGAGCTAAGGAGAGGGGTAGGGGAGAAAACTCATTAGCAAGGTGAAAAGACAAGTTTGGAAAAACAAGATTGTTCTATTATGCAGATGAGGGGTTAATCCTTGTCTTCCTGTTGCAGGCTCTCCTTCCCAGTGTATATTGAGGCAGTTATGGGGAAGCAGAGTGCCTTTCCTGCATCTGCTGGAAGATCCTGAGGGCAAAGCATCCAAGGGAAACTGAAACTACCCCTTCAAGCAGTAAGGATGGCTCTGAGCCAGACAGCAAGTGCCCATCAGTGATTGACTCACAGACACCATCGCTTTGACTTCCACTGCCTACCTGCACTACTCACCCACCCACCTTTGCCCTCCATTTTCCTTAAAAACCTGGGAGTATTTTTAGCACTTTGGAGACGAGTCTTGGAGAGGCTATGCTGCTGTCTTCCCACTGTCAGCCTCCAGGAAGTAAACCCCTTTCTCCTTTCACCACCACTGGTTTCTCTGCCTTTGAATTTTGTCACTGGGCGTGGCGGAACCTGGTCTGTTTGCGACCCCACCAGACGCGGATCCTAGCCCTCGGCCGTGACGTGGGGCAGAGGCAGAAGAGAAATTAAAATTCCCTTACTACCCTACAGCCCATCGACGAGTCCTTAAAACAGACAGAGTGACATTCCTCTAGGAACCCAGCTGCCTCGATGTCACTTTGCTAAGGGCAAAAGGCCATCCTAGCCCGACCCCCTGGATCCCATTAAGTCTACTTTAACACATAAAAATTCCTTTGGAAGCTTCTGTTACCTCTACCCCCCAAGATACATGCTGGCACCCATCCTCCCAAGTATATGGCCCACCATACACATCTGAAGGGTCTCATGACTCAGGTTTTATTAGACGGTAGTAAGTGACTTTTTCCCAACAACAGCGAGCCCCCTCAAGGTCCTGGAAACCTTGCTTCCAAAATTCCTTGGACACTTAGACCAGCCCTAACCCCCCCCAACTTGAAAGTGTATAATGGGCCACTCCTCAGGACCCCAGTGCATCTCCTTCCGCCCACGGGTCCTGTCCCCGGGCTGTAACTAAACCACCTTTTTGCACCAAAGACATCTCAAGGATTCTTTTTTGGCCGTGGGCTTGGAACCCTAACATCGTTCCTACAGCAGGCTGCTCTTGCACGCTGCACCCCGGCCACACCGCGACCAGCCAGGTCGTGCGATGAGGCTAGGGACGGAACAAACGGGACTTTTCACGGGACAGGAGCCCGTCACCTTCCGCAGAGGGAGCCGCGGTGAAGAGAAGCCCGCGGTAAGGGGCGGGCTGCGACGCTGCGGGGGTGGCGCCTCAGGACAGGGTGAGGTGTGCAGACGCCCGGGATCAGGGAGGAAAGCCGGCAGGGGCCCGGCGCCCTCAGGGAGGGCCCTGGCCCGAGGGGGAAGAATCCCCGCACCCAGTGGGGACGTCACACGGCGCCGGCGACGTCAGGACGGCCGGCCGAGGGTCCCCAGCAGAAGAACGAGGCAGGTGGTGTCACCACGCCAGAGGCAGAGAAGCAGGGAGGCCCTCGGGGCGATTTTAGCCGGCAACGGACGCGGATCCCAGCCCTCGGATCGTGTGGCTGCGACGTGGCAGCTCACCACCGGAGTTTGGCGGGGGCTTTAGTATCCCAGCGACCCGCTCACCCACGTACGGACGTCGGCCGACTGAGGGGGCCACAGGGCTCAAGCCTGAGCCGGAAAGACAGGGAGACTGCCACTTCTCCGGATCCGCTTCCGGGTCTGCCGGAAATGCGTAACGGCCGTGCTGGGAGGGGCGTGGGGGCGGGGCGGGGGCGGAGTCTAGGGGAGTGGGCGGGGCATCTGCTTACCGTGGGCCCCACCCCCGGGGCGTTGCTGGATCTGCCAGACCTAACTTGGTCTTCGGGTTTGGATCCTTTGTGTTTCCCCGGCGTAACGCGGAGCGGGGGTTCCTCCTGCCTGTTCTATATAAATGTTTCCAACAATTTAGTGTAAAAGCTTACAGTGCTGTGGGCACTTAGAGGATGAGATGTTTTCCTCCTACTGGGCTGGAAAGGGTTTGAGTCAGCAGCTGCCCTTGCTAGCGGGTGGAGACGAGAGGGGGCGGGGGGACCTGGGCGGGGATCGGTGTAGACCGTGGCTCCCCACCGGGGGTAAGCTGCAACCCAGACAAGGAGAATGGCTTATTTAGGTGATGGAGGACTGGAGTCGTCTGTCCAGGGGACACGAGCTGGGAGGGGACATGCAAACCGTGCCCGTGCAGAATGTGAAGCTTTATACCCACTTCCACCAGGGCACAACCTCTGTTCTTCGCCACCTGCAGGGCAGATGAGCAACCGGGGGGTTCAGGTCCAGCAGCTTTAAAGGGACAAGGATGGGTGGGTGGGTGGGTGGGTGGAGAGGAATCTGATAATTTAGCTCACTAATCTATTGCTTTAAAACATAAATTAGGGGCACCTGGGTGGCTCGTGGGTTGAGCGTGGGACTTGTGGTTTCAGCTCAGGTCATGATCTCATGGATCCTGAGATTGAGCCAATCGTAGGGCTCAGTGCTCAGCGGGGAGTCTGCTTGAGAGTCTCTCCCTCTGCCCCTCCCCCAACACACGTAGGCTCTCTCCTCTAAAATAAAGAAATCTTTTTAAAAAATCAATTAAAAAAACTAAAAAAAATAGATATTAGTTTCTTGGTTCATCTATCTTCAGTGTGTTGATCTATTTTTTTTTTTTTAAGATTTTTATTTATTTGACAGAGACACAGCGAGAGAGGGAACACAAGCAGGGGGAGTGGGAGAGGGAGAAGCAGGCCTCCCGCTGAGCAGGGAGCCCGATGCGGGGCTCGATCCCAGGAACCTGGGATCATGATCTGAGCCGAAGGCAGACACTTAACGACTGAACCACCCAGGTGCCCCTGTGTTCTATTTATTATATGCTGGAGGTGAGCCATAAACCCGTGTATCTTGAAATAAAGTTGGATTGCATCTACTTTTTTTCAGTTAGCTGAAATTTTCTTTTGCCCTACTGTAATCCCACATTTGATAGTTGTTCTGTTGTTACAGAACCCAAAGTTCAGGTGCGTGACTCAAAAGGCCAATACCCAAGAGACAAGAGATGTGTTTTTTTTTCCACACCCAGAGTGGAATGCAACATGAGGCTTGAATCAAGGCGCTGGGATCAAGACCTGAGCTAAGATCAAGAATCTGAGGCTTAACTCACTGAGCTACCCAGGTGCTCCCCAAGAGATGACTATTGATTGGAAAGGCATTTGAACTTTATTCAGGAGCTTGGGCACCTGGAGAGAAGGCAGACTCTGATGACACTAGCTACAGATGTTAATCTCAGTGCTTGGAATTTGTATAAGGGGGTCTGGTTCCTTATGCCCCAGGGGTTGTGCAAGGGGGTCTGGTTACTTAGTACCTGGGGGTTATACAATGGGGTGTGGTTTCTGTTTTGTGAGGTGCAGAGGTACTCTGTTGTTTCTACGAAAGAATGCATGATCTATAGATATTCAAAGACAGGATAGTTAATCAATCACGAAGGCTGAGGGTGCTTGCTATAGTTTAAAGACTACTAGGTTGGCTGGAGGGGCCAAGGCGGCTTCACTATGTGTGTGTTGAAGTGGAATAAACAGTATTTCTTAGGGACGCCTGGCTGGCTCAGTGGATAGAGCATGCAACTCTTGGTCTCAGGGTCATGACTTTGAGCCCCACATTGGGTGTAGAGCTTACTTAAGAAAAAACAAAACACATTGTTTACCAAAAGTGTAAGAAGAATCAGTACTTAAACACAAATATTTTATTGTAGAGAACTATCATAAGCTATTAAATAAAAGTATTTCAGCAGAGAAAAAAACTACTGAGTTTGTAATTGTTTCCAATTGTCAGAGGGAAAAAATGTACCATATATGTCAATCCTAGGCTGCCAACATTCCCCTGAAAGGAAACCAAGTTTCAAAATCTTTCACAGGATATCCTGACAATCTGGTGAGATATTGGCATGTTAATTATCTTTAAAATAATCAACTCTCCTCAAACAATGAAAACATATGAAGAAGATACAAAAGCATGAAAACAGTTGGAGAATATAATGCAAACTGATGGAGAAGTGGTCCCAGTTCTTTTTTTAAACATTTATTATTGAAGTTTAGTGGATGCACAATGTTATATTAGTTTCAGGTGTACAGCATAGTGATTTGACAATTCTACATGTTGCTCAGTGCTCACCATGTTAAATTTAGTCCCCATAAAATGTTAATTATAGTATTATTGACTATATTTCCCATATTGACTGATTTATTTTATAACTGGAAGTTTGTACCTGTTAATCCCCTTCACCCATTTCACCCATCCCCCCACCATTTCTCTCTGGCAAGCACCTTTTTGTTCTCTGTATTTAAGAGTTCGTTTTTTGTTTATTTCATTTTTTAGACTCCACGTATAAAGGAAATCCTATGGTATTTGTCTTTCTCTGTCTGACTTCACTTCACTTTACATAATGCCCAGTCCTGATTCTTTCTTTATTTTTGTTTTAGTAATCTCTATATCCAACAAGGAGCTCAAACTCACAACCCCAAGTTCAAGAGTTGCATGCTCCACTGACTGAGCCAGCCAGGCACCCCAATCCTGATTCCTTTTTTTTTTTAAGATTATTTATTTATTTATTTGCAGAGAGAGAGAGAGATCACAAGCAGGCGGACAGGCAGGCAGAGGGAGAGGGAGAAGCAGGCCCCCCGCTGAGCAGGGAGCCCAGGCAGGGCTCAATCCCAGGACCCTGGGATCATGACCTGAGCCGAAGACAGATTTTTAACCGACTGAGCCACCCAGGCGCCCCTCCAAACCTGATTCTTTTTTTTTTTTTAAAGGTTTTATTTACTTATTTGACAGAGGGAGACACAGTGAGAGAGGGAACACAAGCAGGGGGAGTGGGAGAGGGAGAAACAGGCTTCCTGTAGAGCAGGGAGCCGGATGCGGGGTTTGATCTCAGGACACTGGGATCATGACTTGAGCCGAAGGCAGACGCTTAATGACTGAGCCACCCAGGCGCCCCCAATCCTGATTCTTAATAGCAAAAATCTTCCCCATCTGACAACTGATACTGAAGCCACACCCTAATACTTTTAAAACTTCAGTGTTCATAGGAATCCCCAGAGAAGATGTTATAAGATGTATTTGAATTTGACAAGTACTGATGTCCATAGGGTTTTCAATATGGTCATCTAGGACAGTATATCTCAAAATCCCTGATGCCAGCCACATAATGCAATTCCATCAGAATCTCTGGAATATTTTTTGAAGCTCCCCAGGTAATTCTAAAGTGCTTCCTGGTTTAAGAAATAACACCTAGGATGTCTTGAGGCAGATTCAGTCATGGACTGAGCTTGTTTCTTCTCCAGATCGCTCGAGTACAACCTTTGGTCTGCAGGAAACCAGAGCATCCCTCTCAGTGTGATCATGTAAGGTCCACAGAGAAACGTGAAAGCTGGGGAGCCTGGCTGGCTGAGTCAGGACTGCATGCAACTCTTGATCTTGAGGTCATGGGTTCAAGCCCCACATTGGGTGTAGGGGTTACTTAAAAAAAAAAAGTGAAAGCTTGTTCTATTGTGGTTCCTTATGTCTGCATCAAGAGCTGTAGACAATTTAGAGAATAGGGAATTCTGAGTGCTGGTTTAAGGGAGTCCACCTCTCCACCTCCAGGTAAGAGGGCATCTTTGGGGATTACCTCTTGTTGAAATGACTCGGCAAAACCTCAGAGCATGCGCTCTATTACTGCCTCGAGCATACATTATACATTTGCTTTGTTAACAAAAACCTGGAGGGTATTATGCTAAGTGAAATGTCAGTCAGAAAGACAATTATCATATAGTTTCACTCATATAGGGAATATAAAACATAGCACAGAGGATCATAGGGGAAGGGAGGGAAAATAGAAGGGAGGAAATAGAATGGGAAGTCATCAGAGAGGGAGAAAAACCATGAGACAAGTCTTAACTATAGGAAACCGGCTGAGGGTTGCTGGAGGGGAGGTGGGTAGGGGCATGGGGTAACTGGGTGATGGGCATTAAGGAGGGCATGTGAGGTGATGAGCACTGGGTGTTATACACAGCTAATGAATCACTGAACCCTACCTCAAAAAGTAATGATGTACTATATGTTGGCTAATTGAATTTAAATTAAAAAAACCTGGAGCATCATAAAACAAAACAGAACAATAAAATGAAAACAAAACAAAACAAAACAAAAGGAGCATTCCAAACATAAAGATGAGAAAAAGGAAAAGCCTCCCTGGTTCCTGTAAGATTAAAATCTTGCAGCCTTGCAGATACTAAAAGTAGAAGATAAAGTCCATAACTTTCTGGAATGTCTTTTGTCATGATGATTTGTAACTCTTCATGTACAAAAAAGCATATAGCCCGGCACTAAATGTTCCTTCCCTGGAGCATTCTCTACTTTGTGAAGATTGTGTACCCCAGGGAACTGTCCTAACTTGAGCTCAGATAGAACTCTTTTCCTTTTCCTTTAAAAAAAAAAAAAATTTCATTTTGCAACACCAGAAAGGTAGGAGGAGGGAAACAAGATTCTTTCCAAAACTTGTAGGTTTGGTGACTTGGGTTTTTTTTGTTTCCAAAATGCTATCTTTCAGAAAGCTTGATTTCTTTCCAGTTTTTCTGTCCCCCAAAAGTCCCATTTCAGGTCCAGCTTCCTAATTTTTCTCATTTCGGGTAATCAGATATAACACAGTTATGGCTTCAACATCTCTGAGTATTCTCTCCTGTGATATCA